GGGGGGGGATTCTAGTCCCCCCCAACCCATTTTTCTGGCTGATTAAATCACTATTTTTTTTTCACTTAGAGGTTATCACCAGTGGTACTGAAGGATTACTAATTAGAAGTTAGTCTAAATATAACGATAACGATAATGAGAGAAATGATAGAAAAGGTAAAATTCGAAAAAAGGAAGATTCGCTACCATCATTTGGTAATCAAACTCATACTTCATCTCTGGAACCGCGCAGGAGGTGGGGCTGGGGGGGGGGGCCTTAGCCGTACACCTATGGTGGCCAATGCTTGCCATTCATATTTTTTGTTGTTTTGTTAAGATTTTTCAAAAATATCTGATATAAAATCATAACCAACTCAATCAGAAATTAAATTGGATAATCAAAGTAAAATCAAAATTTAATTAATAAGCAGTTACAAATGCAAGAAAAAACGAATTATAAAGCAAAACAACTTTAAAAACAAAGTGCAATCAAAACAAAGAATTGATTGATGTTAAAAATAATTGGCTGAGGAAAATGAAAATAACAACTCTCTTCTTTCCTAAAACGAGAGCGAAATGAAACGCATTTGTCAAATAATTTCTAAAACAAAAGCAAAAGAAAAAATAAAACGCAAATCAATTTAAACTCACCGTGGCCTATCGTTGCCATAGCCCACAAGGCTTTGCGATTTTATTAAGGGGAGGAGAACTGGGAAATGTTCTAGGGATGGAACAAAATGGCTTCCAATATTCGAAATCCTACCTGGCGATCTGACGCAAAAGTAAGGGAAGACATGGAGACATACGTCAGTCGAGGGTTGCGACGAGAGGAAATATTAAACTTTCTCGTACGAGACTTTCCACAGTATGCGTGGAGTCTTCGCACTCTTGATAGAAGACGTCGAGAGTTTGATGTACATTTCTCTGACACGAGAATTTCGGTTGAACAAGTAAAGGAAGCAATCAAGAATGAGCTTGACGGTCCTGGATGTCTTCTTGTGTATAGAGCAATGCAAAATAAGTTAAGGCAAGAGTACAAACTCAATGTACCTATAGATTTAGTGCACGATGTTATGTTTGATCTCGACCCTGTTGGTCTGGCAGCAAGATGTCCCACCAATAGGAATAACAAAGTTAAGGGGCAGTTTTACCACATAAGGAGTTAACTGGGTCCATTCCATGGACGGTCATGACAAGTTAATGGGATGTCAGAACAGGACATTCCCACTTGCAGTTTATAGCAGCATTGATACCGCAAGTCGTAAGTTGCTATGGCTAAGAGTATGGGTGACCAACTCTGATCCAAAGCTTATAGGTCGATGGTATTTGGAGTACCTTTACGAATCTAGGAAAATGCCGTCAATCATAAGAGTTGACAGGGGCAGTGAAACTGGCATTATGGCTACCAAGCAGGCATTTCTAAGACAAAACCATGGCGACATAGAACCAACTGATACAGTTGTGTATGGACCATCAACGGCAATCAGGTAGATACTATATAACAAATTTTTGGTTTGAGAGAAAGATACATGTGTGTGTATATATAATGTGGATGTGTAGTTTATATCAAGAAGAAGTCAAAAAGTAGTGTAATATACATGTAAAGACAACTGTAGTCGTTCATACTTATTGCAGTATTTAATTAATTGACAGATTGAGCGTTGGTGGAGGGAGTTACACGAGAGGTTAGAAAGAAATTTAAAGTGCAGCTCTGCATGCTGAAAGACAAGGCCTATATGACCCAGACAATGAGACCCATAGGTAATCATCTAATTTTTCCTTGTTGGATGACATGCATTACCAATGTGGAAAAAAAGTGCATATTTTGTAGAAATAGTGAAGAGTATTGCTTATGGTGTATCCTCTGAGAATAATATTGGAGAGGACATCTTCCTTGGGAACCTGTAGCTTAAGAAGAGATTCACACGGATCTACAAGTGGTTTAATCATACTTGGGGCAAAAAAAGCATCAAAGCCCATGACAAAAGTGTCTTTTAGTGTCTCTTTGTAATCTTCAAAAAAAGTGAAAAAATACAAACATGGTTTCCTAAAGTGTTTTAAATGAAGTCAGGTTTGTCAAGAACAGTATGAAACAAGGCCTGGGCATAATTTGTTCATGTCCAATTGCAAGTTCCAGTTATGGTAGTACCTAACTTTTACCTTCTTTTTTTTTTTTCCCTCAGGATGCTGTTGGCTTTTATTTTAATTCCAGTCATACAAAAACAGCTAGACTCATTTCGAGAAACCATCTGGAACACTCATAGAATCAGAAGACAAAAAAATACTTCTCTTCCTGATGGAGTGTCGGATCACATTTACAACTTTCCACAAGAATATGGGTTGGAAGAGTGCGGTAAAGAATCCTAATCAGTTTCCTTCAATCAGACAATAAAATAGATGCTGCTGGTAGTTCTATCACATGCAATGAGACTTGAGAAAATGTTGACACTTCACGACTCTGGTTCACCCTGTATCATATAATTTTTATAACGAATTACCTTTCATAGTAGTGATTTGTCATTGTGTGCCCTACGAAAGCAAAGTTTATTCGAATAGAGTCATGAAAGAAACCAATTCCTTATCATTTTGATTCACATTGCATCATAGAATGCTGAGTTTATAAAAACTAAGTCTAAAGTGTCAATGGTTTTGAATCTCGATCATCACTTCAATCCTTTCCTGAAACTTCTTCATGTAAATAATAACATTACAATTGTGCAGGACAGTTTGCAGTACTAGTGAAGGATGCAGAAAAGCATAACAGTGGAACACTAATAAAATTAGTGATAATATAACTGAAACTGAGTAGTTAGCAAGTGACAATCCAATATTTTATTGTAAGCGCATTTGAACAGACATGCTCTCTTTCAGGATGGCCTGTGACAGAAGACCAGCTAGGGGAAGTTGCTTCCCACTCAGGGCTACTACAAACTCCATCAGATTTTCTTCATCCTGACCTCCGGAAAGCCTGCGAGGACATTATACCATCCCCTGAAGAGGTTGAGCCAAAACACTGCATGGATGCGTTTTTGTACATGAAGAACAATTTCCCACTTAATGTACATTTGTGTAGAAGCTAAAATGCCAACTATGTTTTTGAAGTTGGCTGTGTACATTTCAAAATGTCTCGTTTAGTGTATGGTTGTAATAATACGTTTTACATACCTTTACGAATTTTCAAAATTATTTTGTAAATGCCTGCCCTATATCACGTTAACCACCTACCTATAGTCCCAACCCCCATGGAGCCAACTAATGTTTTCTCCTGTTAAAGAACTGTCCAAGACCCTTTTTGTCAGGAAAATTCTGACTTCGACACAGTAAAAGACAGCTTATTCATGATAGTCTCATACAATCTCAATCCAAACATACTGTAACAAGCGTGCAATTCTCATTCTATTTAATATTAACTCATGTTAACGTCTAAAGCCTAGATTCAATCTTTTGGTTTTCAAAGGTATACATGTTGTACAGAACTAATTTCACAATGTTGCTTGAACCACTGATTACTCAAACTGTACAAAGAACTAGAGAGCCCCATTGCAAGAGAACAAAGAGAGCCCCACCCTAGGCAAAAGCCACTTACTGATGCATACACCCTCAGGGAAAAATCCTGTTTCAAAGACAGCTTTTAACTTACAAGGTCTGTAAACCTAACAGGTTACAATACACATTGCAATTGTGCACACTAATGAAGTTATTGATGGCTGTAGTTGACAGATTTCCAGTAGAAAATAGAACCTCTTCATCTTCAATCAATTTTCGGGATGCTATTTCAGGGTCAAAGAGGTCATATCCACTACCTTGCATGTCTAATATCATAAGCTCCTTCTCTGAGTGCTCGTAAGAAAAATGAGCAAGACTTTCTGCTTTCTTCAAGATTTCTGAGTCATTGATACTCAATTCTCCATTGTTGTTTATATACTTAGTGAACTTCCCCTCAAGAAATTCTTCAATAGTGACAAACTCACCCCCTTCTATTTTACCCATAAAAACCTCTTTATACTTTAGAGTTTCTCCGTACAACACCAAAGCGTCCTCTTTGGCAAGTTCGCTCTGCAACTTAGTTGCAATGTTTTTAGCTAACATGTGCATTTGAACGACCTTTTTCGTATGCTGCTCTACTGTCTGCTTTACTGCTTCAATATTATCAACAGCAGCTTGCAGATATTTCTTTACGACCCATTTACAATTATGAAAACCTAGTGTTGTGCTGCTAGCTTTAAATGCTCTCCGGAATCCCCCAATTCCGAAGGGCTCCTTTTCAATGGCGAATTCGACCTCTTGTGGATTTCTAGACCAGCTCATTTGGTTGACGTCGAAAGTGTACAACTGGATAATATCTGTAGATCTGTCATGGATAACTTTCCCGAGCTTGAGCATCTCAACAACTGAGAGACTTTTGGCTACCATTTCGCTGACACATGACTCTTTCTTTTTTGGTGAAGGCTCACTCTTAAACTGTGTTTGTTGTTTTCTTTTCATTCCTGGCACGAGGTCGGCAGCTTCATGTACACTCGTGGCAGAATACGACTGAGCTGCCTCGATGAACCGGATATACACGACTCTCATATCGGGTATTTGGGCCAACGAATAGCAGGATGGACCTTGCTCTCCAGCTAAGATTTCACACATCATGTCATTTCCAATAGTTCATGCGAAATGTTTTTGGCAAGCACTCTTGATGTTAGCTAATGTCACCTCCTCGTAGTCATATGGTACAAACTCTCTCGGCCCAATACGTGAATAATTTTGCGCTTTGCCGGACACTTCCGCACTTAGCCGTTGAATAACAACCTCTTCACTTGCCAGTATGTCATGGCTCACACCACCCCTCTTACCAGTTCTTTTCTCCTTCATTGCTGTTTTGAAATTTTTCCGCGCCGCCGCCATTTTCCCCTTTTTAAAATCGCAAAGCCTTGTGGGCTATGGCAACGATAGGCCACGGTGAGTTTAAATTGATTTGCGTTTTATTTTTTCTTCTGCTTTTGTTTTAAAAATTATTTGACAAATGCGTTTCATTTCGCTCTCGTTTTAGGAAAGAAGAGAGTTGTTATTTTCATTTTCCTCAGCCAATTATTTTTAACATCAATCAATTCTTTGTTTTGATTGCACTTTGTTTTTAAAGCTGTTTTGCTTTATAGTTCGTTTTTTGTTGCATTTGTAACTGCTTAGTAATTTAATTTTGATTTTACTTTGATTATCCAATTTAATTTCTGATTGAGTTGGTTTTGATTTTATATCAGATATTTTTGAAAAATCTTAACAAAACAACGAAAAATATGAATGGCAAGCATCGGCCACCTTACACCCCCCACCCCGTTATTTTGGCTGATTAAATCACCATTTCTTTTTACTTAGAAGTCAGTCTATTTATTTAAATTTGGTCAAACGTGAAGGCCAGTTTGTTACTTGTTGTTTTATAAGAATTAAAAATCAACTTTACTCTCGGCAGTTTTGGATCCATTTCTAGCCATTTAAGAAGACTATAATTCCAAAGTTTTCCGGGGGAGCATGCCCTCGAACCCCCTTGTTGGCTCACGCTAACGTGTTCGCATTAGCCTCCCCCCCCTCCCCCACTTGAAAATCCGCTCCGCGGGGCCTGCATCACTGATCATAACTATTTGTTTTATTTTTAACTGTTACCGTTTCCATTTGTATTTATCTTTTTATTCTTAAACGACATTGGGTAATAATTTTTTATCAAACTATGTTTCGAACGACATAGAGATATCGACACTACATTTTAGTCAAACGGGAATGTTATACACCTTTTAGATGCCCGTGACGGCAACATACAGCTAAATGAAACATTTGGACTGCTTAATCAATATTTTCTTGACTCTATAAACTAAATTTGTGATCATCGAGGAAAGAAGACCGAAGACAGCACTTCAGCATGATTAAATGTTCGACAACCATGCATAGATCATGCCTACATATTACAAAAATATGTACATTTTGTTGACCATCGGTGAAGAGGTTTTTCAGCATCAATATCAAAATATAGGAAATGTACGGGACATGGATCAGGTCCTTACAGGGTATCCGTGCATGTATCTGAAACGTACTCCGCAGTGGGCTGTTTGTATATTACAAAACACAGTGCCAGAGGGAAACACGATGACTTGGTGATATATGTGCCTCGCAGATGCAATTTATTTTGAAAACCTAACCTAAGCTTTCGCAGAGCCTTTAATCTCTGTTTGGTTACAGATTGATAAATTGGGTGGGAGAAGATTGTTAGTAGACCCTAAGATACAGTGAGTCGAAAGAGCTCAGAACGGAAAGAGGCATTCTACCAGAATTATTCATAAATCAAATTTCGTATATTCCCTTGTCCTCGCCATCATTCTCAAGAGGACGACCCTCACTATGACAAAGCTATAATTCTCAGAATAGCACATCTAAAATCTCTTAAAATTTGAAATGCCTTCGAATCGTAACTAGACGCTTCGGTACCGTGCTGGACAGTTTCTTTGTTTTGTTTTGTTTTTCACTTGCGATTGAGAGTGAACGACGAGAGTAAACGGTCATATAATCGCCTCTCGCGGACCCATTTGTAACTGCGAGTCGTTTGTTCCTTAAATTATATCACCAGTAGTACTAAAGGTTTACTAAAACTTACCTGAAGGGAACCCCACCAAAAGATCGAAATACATGTTTAGTGTACTGATTTCCGTCACAAAATGCAACTGGTCCGGTAGTTTCAGAAATCTGAAGAACCAGAGAATGTCAAAAATGCGAAAGGCGAATGTAGTTTATGCTCGTAATGGATACAATACCTTTTCACTTGGTTTCCACTTTTGACTTGTCACACAGTCGTTGAACCTTCCTTTGGAATCAACCAAGTTGCATTAATCGGAAGCACTACGAGACGAAACTGAAAGGGACTTTCCCTTTGTGATATCTTTGGCTATGTTCACATTCCATGCATACTAATCAACCTACGCACGACATGTTTTCTTTTTTTATTATTATCATTATTTTTTTAGCGCCCTGTGGAAAAGATGAAGCAGAATATTTGGTTTACTTCAAAAAGAAGTACAGATTATAACAAATTAATAACTGCTTTGATGGGTGAAGCCGTGTGATAAGCGATATAACTTACCAGTGAATAGCGTTGCCGAAACTGAAAGTGTGGTTGAAGGTCAAGGGAAGTAATTCTAGGATGAAAACAGGAAGACAAACAACCCAATGGGAAAAACCCCTATTCGGACAAAGGGCCGATGTCACGAATACGCGAAAGCTTAACTAAATGTATGTTTCGATGATTTTTAGAGAAAACAGCAGATCGTCTTAGATAAGAGAGCTAAGAATTAAAATCCCAAAATCTCAATCTGAAGGTATGAGACCGAGAGTCAGAAATTGTGGAACAGCTGGCCTGAATCGAAACCAAAAGTTACTTCGTAAGCACCTTCTTTTTTTTTTATATAGAAGTTGAAAACATAAAAAAATACGGAGGGAGGTTCCCTAGACGAAGCTCGTTGGGAAAAACACCTTTTTGGACAAAGCGCCGATGTCACGAATACGCAAAATCTCAACTAGATGTAGGTATCGATGGTTTTCAGAGAAGACAGCCGATCGTATCAAATAAGAGTGCTGAAGAAAACATAATCCCAAAATTTCAGTCTTAATGTATGGCACCACAGTCAGAAATTGTGGAACAGCTAACTTGAATCGAAACCAAGAGCCACTTCGTAGGCACATTTTTTTGTGTATGAGTTAACCGTAAAAACAGTGCGGAGGGAAATTCCCTAGACGAGGCCGTGGGGGGGAGGGGGGGGGGATCATACGTACAAAGAAGGAAGACAATTGTGGGCAAGGAAAACAGACGAGGCTGGCCGCACTATCTTATGTTGAAAGTGATCGGCTTTTAGGTGCGAATAATTGCTAGGTATGCGATTGTTTGCTGATACACTACCTGATTTCTTACCTCTTTGTTCTTTTGGAGTAAAAAAATTTATACTTATTTTACAGAGACTCTCAAGGAAGAGTCGAGCCAAAGGAGAGCGAATTATTCAGGTACATCCTACTGTATTTTTTTTTAAATTAATGGACTCATTTGAAAGGTACACGATTTTATTTGAAGATTTTTACGCCATGGTATTGCAAAAAATTACCTAACGTTTAAAAAGTAGTATCAGACCTTCCCTTTTATATTGGTTATAATGCGAGAGGTTCTGTTAAATTCACAGTTTTCAGCTATTTAGATAAGGTTTCGTTCGTGAATTTGAGGACGTATCACGAAGCATATCTCTGCATTGTCACTCGAATTCTGAGTAACGATAGCAATAATAAAAACTTTAGGTACGAAGGGCCATAGCAAAAGAATTTTATGCACGGTTGCGGGAGTGCTTACTGCTGCATAGCCGAAATAACGAGGGATTCGAGAAAGTTTACAGCCACTTTTTCAATTTTTTTTTTTTTTAATTTCGTGTTTAGTTGGATTCCGTTATTAGAAGGGACATAACCTTTCCTATAGTTCTTGACTTCTTTATCCTGAGCAGTCAGAGTAAATACGTCATAGGGTCTTCGGGAAACGCAAATTAAAAATGGCTGCCATAAAGCGTGATTTATGCGTAACTAAAACATTCGGCTTTGACTGAATTCAAGTAATCGCTCGTTGCGTAATTGCGTTTTGTTATTTTGTCACTTCGCTTCCTCGTTAGACTCTTCGTTATGGAATTTCGATGTGAAGCCTGAGGTAAAGTTCACGTTGCACTGTCTTCTGACAATGTGATCATTTGATCGCAAACTGTACTTTGAAGAAAATAAACAACTGTAGTAGAAGATTCACCCAACGTAATTTTTTTGATGCGAACCGGTGTATTTTTTGGTGAATTTTTTTTCATCAACGAAAGAAATGGTTACGCCAAAACCTCTCATTGCCAGAAATATGGGACAATATGGCGGAGGTGGTTACAATACAATACAATACATAGCTTATATAGCGCAACAATAATAATAATGAAAATAATAATAATAATAATAATAAGTTAAGTTAAGTTAAGTTAAGTTTAATAATAAGTTAAGTTTAAGTTAAGGATATTTTAAGAACCGAACAGTAAATCATGAACATAAAAAAAAAAAAAACAAAAAAAAAACATCTTAGTATTGGGCCAATTGACACTTTTATCGTTTTATATTGATCATTTATATTTAAGTAGTATTAGATATCATTATAGTTAACAGTCCTGTCATGCAGATAGGCTACGAATTTTCGCCCTATCTTGCTTAGCTCACTAGCATCCAAACGTGTATACTGCATAACAATAATTATACCTTTCTTTAGACACGACAATGTTTAAAGCTGAACAGCTTGTGGGGTCGTGTGTAAATGCAATTAAACTCTAAATTAAATACATTTTTAAAGATCTCAAAGATCCAGCGACGCTTTACAATGATAGTGATAGAAAAATATAATCAATTAAGAATTAGAATGAACTTAAAAACTAGTGAAAAATCAATGAAAGCAAAAACTACAAGCGGTTCTCGTGTTACGAGCAAAATGGCGCCGAAACAGTATAAGAAAATGTATGGAAAAATATTGTTTTTTTTTCCAAAATAGCTGTCTAAGAATGGGATATTCTTTCGCTGCGCAGTTGGAAATGCAGCCTGCATCGGTTAAAGCGTTCATCGCTCCGAAAAAGGAATACTCGAATTCAAGCCTACCTTTTTCCAAGGTATACGAATAAACTCAAACTTCTGACTCCATTTTCCCATACAAGCTCTTAAAATCTGTTTGACCAGGTTTTACAATTCTTTTGTCGCGGGAACAAACTCGTGAAGATTCGCAACTCCATAGTTCGATATGCATTCCGTAGAAGTTTGCTCAACTAAATCGCTCGTAAACCGTCGAATATGTTGGCCCACAAACTTTTCTTGAGCCGGAAGACTCTTGGTATTTCACAGAGCTCAAAAGCCCAATACTCCAGTTTTAAATTCCCCACTTTTAGGAAGGAAGAACACGAAAGATACAAATCCCTGTAACTGCACAATATGGCCGCCATTTTCCTTGTTTTGACGTCTCCTATGGCTTTCTGGAATGGTAACGTACCAGGCCTTTCTCTGGCATGGTTTTACGAAAATAGAAAGTTACGTGTTCACTTCACTTCCACCGCCGCCTTAGTGAATTTTCTGTAATGCGATATACCGGTGACATTTTGTAACAGGCTCCAAATGTCCCCGATTTCTGGTGATGTTCTGCTGACAAAATACGAGTTCATATTTGCCGCACTCTATATCCCCTAAACGACAATAAGCGTAGCTGCCGTTAGTCCCAACAAAGATACATCCATTTGATCGTAAACTGTACCTCGAAGGAAACTATCGACAACTACGCTCGAAGGTTTCTCCGTCATAATTTCCAAAGCTAGTTGGCAACACGGCCTATTGATTCTTTCCAGAAACCAGTATAGAAATTGCTTTCTATTTGTTTTTTTGTTCCAATCTCTCTAAATTGATCTATCTCTGTATCCATTGAGCTAACCGCCTCCCGGTTAGCTCAGTGGATAGAGCGCTGGACTGTTGTGTGGGAGGTCGAGGGTTCGAGTCCCGGCCGGACCAACACTCAAGGACTTAAAAATAATGAGAATATACGACCTTTCTATAAATAGTTAGAAATGGTTAGAAATTCTAGTCTTATCGGATAGGGACGAATAAATAGAGGTCCCGTCTCCTGCAGGGTTAGGGTTAGGAGACGTTAATTTCCCACGCACGAGTATACTGTGTGATGGATGTCCTCCCCTGGGGTGTGAAGGGTGGGTTTGTAGAGGGCCAATAGGCAGAATACTTTATATGGTAATTGGGTCACCCTTTTAAAACAAGGTTTACACAAATTCGCGAGAGCGGAATCGAAGCTAACAAGTTCACCATCAAAAAATCCAGAGTTAACCATCTTTCATCACTCCTCCTTTCCACGAGGTTACATTCTTTTGGATATCCCACCGGAAACGGATAGAATTTAATTTTTTTTTTCTGTAGACATTTTATCGTGGCCGAGACTGCCCTTGCGTGAAACAAGGTAAAGGGCCCCCTTCAAATCATGCAAACAAAAAACTGGCGGCTAAAGCCAGTCGATATGTGTTCTCTGAAGTTTTTTTAAAACTACTTCTAACATGAGACATTTCTTTTAACATTCATGTGTAAATTGCAGATGAGATTTAACATGGATGAAACACACTAACAGTCTCAATTTCTTTGTTTTTTACTTTGAATGGGAGAAAAAACTGGAGGTTATTTTCTACTTACAATCCCACCCATAGATTTTCACGCGCTCCTATGGCTACTATTTTAGAGCTGTGACCTCATTGCGTTACAAATTGTTTTCTTTCGTTGAAAACAGTAATCTCTGCAAGTTGTGTCATGAAATTTTCCAAGTAGTTCTCAAGGACAATGGAAGGTTGAGGTGTTTCTTTGTTTTGTCCATAAAAGGTGTATTGGAGGCGCATTTATCTTAAGGACAGATCTCGCAAGAGTTGGCTTGATTTACATGCATAGTCAATATTGGCTAACTGACTCATAGAATAGCTCCATACTTCTTTGATACAATTAAAAAGACTAAAAGACAAAGGAATTAGCAAAATAGTGTTCTATCGTCAATGAAATATAAATTTCAGTTAAGAAAAATTAAAAATACTCTTTGAATAAGAAAAAAGAGAGAAAATTCTTATTTTGGTTTGATGTTTTTTTTTTGTTTTGTTATTTTTTTTGTCAATTAAGCATATCCAATAATGCTTGCTGTTTGCCTTTTCTTTATTTTTTTATTGATCTTTTTTAAGTTATGTAGTCAATAGATACTTCCCTACCTGCACGGATTTTATCTGCGAGCGTTAACAAGCTCTTTCCAATATAAACAATGAAATCGATGCCTTTTTTCGTTGCGCATTGCTTCTGAACGGAAAGTGAAGTTAAAAGTAGCAAAAAATTAAAGAGGCACACCATTAAAATGCCTCTTACACAATTATATTATTTTCCTCCGCAACGCTTTTTGAGTGAGAGGCAAGCTTTTACACCGACAATTTGTTTTCCTCATTCTCCCTACCATTTGACTAACAGCTGTCTGCAAAGGAAAGATTAGGTTATCTTGGCGAGGCTCAAACAAGAACAAAGCTCATACTTTTTCTGATTTCCTTGAGGAGTCTCAAGTATGTCGACTGGAACGACCAACTCAGGTTGCAGTAAAGAGATGTATGAACTCGTGGTACTCTCCGATGGACACAGCGTTGTGGCCGTTGTACGTAAACTACATAAAGGATGCAGAAGCAAAATTGCAATGGACAAAAGATTTCTTGAGGTAAGGTCACTGCTCGGCATGTGAGGCTAAATCACCTCATTAGGAACTCTACCACCGTAAATGGACCTCTCTTCATACCACTGTGATGAATAAAGAAATACAATTCTGAGATGTATTTTACATGGTTTCGTACGTATACTATCTATGCCTTTTTCGCTTATCCTCAGTTTTCTGAGCTTTGTGAAGGCGAACTATCTTTAAAAAGCTGTTCTGATATTAATCATATGACTTTAAACGCTCACTGGTTGAATTTTAGGGCCAAAAGAAACGGTTTAACCATCGACCCGTTGGCTCTTGGGAATTCTGTTGGCAAGGTCAGTTCATAATCGTCAAGATAATGTCAGAAGGGGGAGGATTTCGGGATGCGAAAGTGGTAAGACCATTTTCAGGAATTCAGAGATATATCTAACAGTAATTTGTTAAAAGGAATGAATGCGTCCAAAATCAGCTCAACTTTGATTTAACTCTTTAAGGTGGGGAGTCTGACTATATTTTGGACGAACATTTGCTATCGATGGCATAATTCATAAAGCTTAGGATGGTTGATGTATCAACAGTGAATTTGAATCAAACCAATAATTCAAATAAGCAAATCTGTGGAAAATTATCAACCAGATTATACCAGTTTCATGACCAGACGGGGCAAACTCCCCGAACTTGTCAAAGGCATTTGGCTTGGAGAAGATGGAGAGGATGCTTTGATTGCCACAAACAATAATGTAGATATATTTGTCTCAGCCCTTTTTCCTTTCAAGCCTTTATTTTTCGCTGCGCGGTTTAAATGAAAGAACTTCAGAAATTCTCGACCACAATTCCCCAGGCTGTTCACCGAGAGGGAAAAGTTGGCCTGTTTTTTATTCAAGAAAATTGTAGCAACAATGTAATTTTATTCTCATTTATATTATTACTGAAAACCATTGGGGCAAGACCACTCGCAAAGTGAATGTGCACTCAAGATTAATGGCGATTCCGTTTGCTATCCGCTGAAAAAGCTCCAGATCTTTGTTCTCTCCTGGCATTTATCTATCTATCTATTTATCTAACTATCTATCTACCATCTATCTATCTATCTATCTATCTGTCTATCTATCTATCTATCTATCTATCTATCTATCTATCTATCTATCTATCCATCCATCTATCTATCTACATATATGAAATAAAGTGGTCAATGTTGTTTTCTTTAAAAGTCCAGACATACTTACTGATAAAATAATACGCATTTCTTGGTTTTTGAGGCGTCCTAAACGCTGAGAATTCTGTATGCCATAATCTCCCCAAACTGTACAATCATAATCAAATATACTTTAGGAGGAATAACATATTTGTGCCGAATGAAATATTATTGAGCATTTTAAGCTTAGTGAGATAGATTTGAGCAAAATGGAATTTCAAACTTAAGTGATTTTCAGTCCCAAATACTTGAAATGTTCAGATTGTTTCAAGAGTTTATCATCCATTATAACCTGAAATTACGGGCAGCTCTAAATGCGTGATTATTTCCTGAAAGCATGACGTAACTATTTTTTGTATTGCATATTAGGATTTAAAGCAAACCACCTACTGATTGATCTCAAGTCTTTGTTGACCTTCTCCTCAGCTATGTCGATATTCTTTGAACTTGCATGGACTTCGGTATCGCCAGCATATAAAATAACATGACAACTTTGACAAGCAATCCTAATTCCGTTGATATGTGCATTAAAGAGAGCTGCACCAAGTACCGACTCCTGGGGTATTCCGTAAGAAATCACTTTCATAGAAGAGGTAGTTAACCGCCTCACCATACGACCTGGGTTCGTTTTGTCTGAGAACTTAACTTCAGTCAGGAATTTATGAACGAGCGCTGTCGGATAGCCTCTGTTACAAAGTTTTTGCTAAAACTCTCGTTTGCTTTTATGAAAGGCTCATAGAGCGTACTTTCCTTTGTTTTAAGATTAATTCATAGTCCTTTATACCTTTCGTGGCCGATTATAATGACCTAAATCATAATTCTTCTCAAATTAAAGATTTAGTTTTATTGCCAAAATTTCTCAGTCTCGACTTATATTGTATTTTGAAACTTTCAACGGTAGCAGCAGACTATTGCAAGATAACCATAGTTTGCAACTTGAGCAAAATATTCAATAAGATTACGACTTCTCTGTTATCTTCATTCAGCTAGAGAAATCCAAGGTGAACGAAATGAATCTTACTGGAGTGAAGACCACGTTCGCTCCTCCTGTACCCTTCTCATCACCTTTGAGAGTCAGTGTGAGCGTGGAAAACGAGCAGGATGTCAAGCTTCTTTACACGGGAATGCGGACTGTTGAGTCACCAGCACCACCGGTGAGTGTCTCTCCAGTGTTGCTTGGGTTTCGAAAAAACAAAACTGCAAAAACCAGTACCAATATCTGCTTGACAAATTCATCTAAATTTTTTATCTAATTATTTTTTTCTCGAAAATTTTGCATCGTAACAATGCTTTTGTCTTTGTCGACAAGTTTTCAAATATTCATAGCAAAGTAAATTTATCTGCTTAATTATTACTTTCCGAAAAACAAAAAGGAACCAAAGCTTCGAGGACAAATGTGAAAATTTACGGAAAATCTCTAAGCCAAGAATAGTAATAGCCATTACAACAGCAAGCCAGAAAGGGAGTTTATACTGATTTTTCGTATCGTGCGTTGACAGCAGAATTTGTCGACTCTTTTGTACCTACCGGAGAAGCATTTGAGATCAGTTTGGAAACGAGTTCAATTTTCTTCCATGTGAAGCGAGAAAGAGTTAGAAGTGAACTCTTGAGCTGGCTTTTTTCCGCTGGTTTTGTTTCTTTTCGCCGAAAAACGACTTAAATGGGGATTCTTGCGTGATAACTGCTCAGTGATTTTGTACCCCCTGACGTAAAGTAGCCATAGGAGCGCGTGAAAATCTATGGGTGGGATTGTAAGTAGAAAATGACCTCCAGTTTTCGCGAAAACAATATTCGGATATTTTTCTGCGCACGTTATCTCTTTTAAGATGCGGACAGTTTTCCTCAAGCTCCACTGTGGGAAAATTGTGAGCTTCGAAGAACACATAATGTCCAGAGACAAATATACGAGCCCTCTTCTTTAGTCAAATGAAGGTTTTTATCATCTTTGAAATGTTTTTCAACGTGCGGGAAAATGCTTACGAACAACTTGATGGACTATAATTTTAAATATACGCATTTTACAGACTACCAAAATGGGCGGACGAACTCCTGTGGAACACACTGACACTCCCGTTGAATACCAAGTAACTCATCAGCAAGTGGCCGTGCCAGGAATACGTAATTGCATGTTCCTCATATTACTATATTATTGTTACCTTAATTGGCGACGAATGAACTCGTCATGATGGTAAATTTTGGATGCAATAATGCATCGTGAATACTAATTGGAGCTCTAATAGGACAGTGTAAGAAGATTATTAGAGGGACAGTCGCGTCATATTGTATGGTATTGTAATCTTTATTTAGACACGATCAATTCATCAGCCTATAAAAATACATATCACATACGCTAAGATATTTAAAATTAAAACTACATACTATAACACTAAAGCTGTTTTCCGTGAATGCCGTGCATTAGACTTTAAAAATGTCATTGATCTTACGTTTAAATAACCCCAGAGACTCTGTGTTCCTTATATCGCGTGGTAAACTGTAAGGGTATGCGTAAGGGTATGTGTAAGGGTATGCATAAGGGTATGCGTAAGGGTATGTGTAAGGGTATGCGTAATGGTATGCGTAAGGGTGGGTGTAAGGGTATGCGTAAGGGTATGTGTAAGGGTATGCGTCAGGGTATTGTAAGGGTGTGTGTAAGGGTGTGCGTAAGGGTGTGCATAAGGGTGTGTGTAAGGGTATGCGTAAGGGTATGCGTCAGGGTATTGTAAGGGTGTGTGTAAGGGTGTGTGTAAGGGTGTGNCTGCGATACTAGTGCAGCGCTCTACCAATTGAGCTAACAAGCCAACTGGGAGCAGGCCATCAAATTAATTCGATATAAACCCGTAGATGATAAATCAAACAACAACAAACATATGAAACATATGTGTGAACTGCGGTTATGAGACGTATATGAGCAGTACAGGCCTGAAATTTTTTTCAGGTCTGATTTTCACTATTGCTCAAATAGTGCTTTACTGCGAAGGATCGTGCTCATATACGTCTCATAACCGCAGTTCACACATATGTTTCATATGTTTGTTGTTGTTTGCTTTGTAAGTTACTCGTAGGATTACAGACTGAACTGGACTCTACTCGGTCCTAGAACCATGATTAATGTGTTGCGCAACTGAGTGTTTGGTTCATGTAGAATGTCAGCTGTTTCGCTGCATAGCAGAAAATTGTAAATGACACTTATGTCAAGTTTATACCAGGTTGATTTAAAACTTTCGAAATACTGATGTTGCTGATGAAAAAGAAAGGAGTAACGCAATATTAAATCTGGTAAGGTGACGATGTAGAGTCGGATGACACTGTCACCTTCTATGTAGTGAAGAGGAGTCGATCTCATTTTTCACTGGAATTTCTTCTTTTTCTTTCTTTCCTTTTTTTTTAACACAATCTGTGGGGGTGAGACAAGTTTATACCAGGTTTATTTAGAAATTTTAAAGTATCAATGTTGTCGTGAAATATATAACAATGAAATCTTTAACCTTGTAAGGTTAAATAAAATAATAAAATCATGTTGCCCCAAATGTAATTTGCATTGATCTGAAGTATATGGTCAAGAATAGGAGACAAAGTTTGACAAAAAAGTATATTGTTACCGAGCTTTTTCTTTATTTCTTTTTCGTCATTTTTTGTCCCGGACTATTTCAAAACAACTGAAATGAATTGCAGTATTCATGTTAGCTTGGTTCATCTAATGTGCGAAAGTTGATAGAGAGATAGATAGATAGATAGACAGATAGATAGATGGATAGTTTATTAGAATATCGAACATAGCAGTCCGTAGACTGAATTGCGTTACCAATTACTTAGAACTAGAAATAAATACAATTGAAATTATAATAAAACCACAAATGCGAAAAACTCTCCATATATAAATATGTACAAACTTGTCTAAAAAAAAGATTGAATGTACACATACTTGGAATAAAAGTGTTCTTAAAATGATTTGTATGTGTACGGGGCATGGCATAAGCCCTGGACTGTCTTAGATTATATCTGTGTTCTCTCTCAGGAGGTAAGACAGGCACGAGTTTGTGATCCGGGCATGACATGATAGACTCGAAAAGCTTGCTACACAGAGCCACGCGTCTCGCGTGCAAGGTTACCAAGTCGAACCTGGTCAAACATTCGGAATATGACGCATAAGGACAAATGATGGAGAGCGCTCTCTTTTGCACTCGTTCAATGTCGTCACTAAGATATTGTGGGAGCGCGTGATGGAAAACTGGCGCACAGTACTTTAAAACAGATCTTATCACGGTGCAATAAAAATTTATAATGTCGCTCAGTGGAACGTTTGCGCGCTTTACAAGAACAATAAAGTAAAGGCGCTTGTTCGCTTTCTTAATGCACTCTGAGATATGTTCGTTCCATTTTAAATCTGAGCTAATAGTGACTCCTAGGATTTTTACACTGTTTGATACTGATAGTTCCTTGCCATTAATCACAATTGGTGGAAAATTGTGAGTGTTCCTTTTAAAGTCAATGCGCATCTCCTTGCATTTATCCGCGTTCAGTTCCATCCTATTTTCGATCGACCACGCCTCAACAGCGGAAACTGCGCTTTGTACATCACTGGTCAAACCTCGCGGTATCGTTTGGGCGATAGTCGGCGGGGACTGAGCCCCACTCTGACCTGCAGTCTGATGACAACCTGACACGTTGTTTCCTGTCTGACAGAAAATCCAGCACCCAGACGCGAACCCACCGTGGCATGTCCAAGGCCTTGATCTTTCTGGCCAGCAAATTGTGATCAATAAGATCAAAAGCCTTACGATAGTCGAAAAATACCACTCTAACAGCTGCGCCTGTGGCGTCAGTGGCTTGTGACCAGTTATGTACCATGGAAATCAGAGCGTACAAGGTGGAGGATCTTGGAATACCGCCATATTGGTTCGGGTCTATGATCTGCAACACCGCTGGACTGACGTATCTGAGTACCACAAAATCTTCCGCAACCTTAGAGATAGCGGGCGTCAAGGAGATAGGACGCAGGTGCTTAGTAGCATCAACCACGGGTTTTTGCTTAGGGAGAGGCACCACGTCCACAAGCTTCCAAGAGGCGGGAAGCCTTTGTTCTCTAAAGCTCGCGGCCAGTATAGATGTAATAGGCTGTGCGAGAATCACTCCATATTCCCTCAAAAGCCAGTTACCGATGTCGTCAGGTGCAGCTGCCTTCCTCGGGTTTAGATTGATTAGAGCATGTAGGACATCAATTTCTGGAATTAAAGGCATATCGGAGTCCTCCACTACAGTAGGGACAGCGAATAGGGGTTGGTAATGCTTCATGGGTTCTAAGAACACAGCGTTGATGGCGTTAGCTAGTTCAACGTCACTTAGGCGATCGGAACTGTCCCCAAGCTGAAGGCTGGAAAGGAGACTTTCAGAAGATGACGCAGGATTCATACCGGCGATTCGTTTAACTCCGCTCCACCACTGCGAGGGCTTGATGTTCTTTAAATTATTCACTTTCCTTGCATAGTATTTACTGCGAAGTGACTTACGCGTGCAGTTGACGTCATTTCGATATCGCCGGTATTGATCCATGTCTCCATTGTGGAAGGCGTGTTGAAGGAGCTTAACGAGGTTCTTGAACCGCTCAGTAACCCAGGGGGGATCATTCAGGTGAAGTCTGACATGTTTAACCGGCATTAAGTGGTCGAGACTAATTTTGATGAAATCCGTAAACAGCGCCAATTCAGCCTCGCAGTTAGATGCTTCGTTAACCACTGACCAGTCGATAGACGCGAGGAAACGCCCAAGCTCGGACGTGGGACTGGCCCGAGTGTCCCGCTTGGAAAGGGTTCTTCTACTTGGGCCTTCCCTTGGAGCACGAGTTGTTGGGTGCACGAAGACAACATTGTGATCCGATAAACCAAACGGCGGTGAAATCTGAACGGAATTTATGTCGTACAAATCTGGTTGGTTGGTGAAAACCAAGTCCAGGATCTGATCACCCTTAGTGGGCTTGTTGACCAATTGCCGCAGTCCGAATTGTGCAGCTAAACGATTCAACTTTAGCCGATTGAAATCGCCGCAGAGTAGAATCCCGCAACCTGGGAATTCTCCCTCAACAGTAGTCAAGGGTGCTGATAGATAGTCCAACAAATCAGTGTCTCTGGCGCTGTCGTTGAAGAACGGATGGTTAGGATCTTGTAAGTGATCAAGAGATCTATACCTGATCGAGTCCACTATATAGAGCCCAATCCCTCCGTGAATGTCTGTGGTGCGGTTTCTAGAAATAAACGAGTAACCGGGAATGTGGAGGTGGTTTCCACTGATGGTGTCCCTCAGCCACGTTTCAGTAATGAACCCTAAATTTGGTTTGTAGTCCAAGATGGTAGAACGAACTTCGTCGATCTTGGGCGCCAGAGACATTGTGTTCGCAAGCATCAAGCTCATATCAAACACGCTACGCGATTCAATGGGACGATCCGTGATGACTGGAAACGTATTGTCGTCAATCCGAGAGTTTGAAGTGTTCGTTCCGTTCTCGAGCAACACCGGCGGAACGGAAGGGTTGTTTGTTTTGTTGGTTTGAAAGGTGTTACCTTGAATATTTAATAAGCTCGACGAGCGGTTATGCAAATTACTAGATTCGTGGTCCAGTGCAGCAATTTGGTCAGAACCCATCGAATCATCTTCATTTGGAGTTGGAGAGACGTTGGCACGGAATTGTCTTGCAGTTCCTAGGCACGATACACTGTTACCTCGCTTTCTGCGACCGCCATGGCAACCCGGACGTGTGGATTTTATGCGAGTGATACCGTGCTCAGTGAAACGACGCCACAGGAGTGGATTCAATAAAGCCGGGGAAAACGATGATAACTGTTGAATTACAGATCTTGAATACGTCAAAGCCATGTTTTTGAGTTTAAACTAGATTTAAAACTTAAAATATTAATAAATCTCTCTAAAAAAATGGAGGGAAAACATGGAGCGTGAAAGGTCGTGTGCTACCAGCGAGGCGCTCTCCTGGAAAAAAGAGGAGCTCCCCTTTTAACGGCAATCAAGTGACCAAGACGACCTTTGCAAGGAAGAGACCGCGAAGAACCTTAAAAAAAATTTCTCTGTAATTTAGTTTTACACGGGAGTATTTCGAACGTAGAGTGGCATTATATTACTTATTGAAAATGGATATATCATCAATCAAGACTGTGGCTTTTGACTTCGTAAACTTTAAAGTTGACTTTAGAAACGTTTAGAGCAAGAACATGTGCAAAGGTCGCAAACTGCATCGTAGTCAAATGTTTCTCCCAACACTTCTTTTGTGCTCTAGCCGATTCCTGCGTGCTTTACTACAGAATCAAGGTTACAGAGCACAATCAAGGCTATTTTCCAATTAAGTGGAAAACAGATTTAATTGTTCGGATTAGAACTAAGTTTCTACAACTAAGTTTCTTGACCCTTAGAGCGATTGTGGAAGACTTAAAATAAAACGAAGGTAGTATGGATGCGAAATTATTGCCTCGCCTAATTTTTTAAACTTTTTTCTTTGAATTTTTTTCTGGAAGTTCTCAAAAAAAGAAATGGAACAGATCTTTTTCGATTGTGGTGTTTAGCGGGTATTTTAAAATATTGAAAATATTTAATATGTAATTACTCTTAGTTATATTCTCCACGTCTTCGTAGTCTTAATCCTCATAAGACTATTGCAAAAGCAGTTGGACTGCAGTTAAGTAGAGTAGTTTTTGAACTGGAGCACAACTAACTGGCGGTTATTGAGGCATAATTCTCTTCCCTAAGATAATAAGAAAATGCTCGTCCACAGACGAGGAAATTTTCCAGCTCGAGCATGGTTTTCTTTAGCGGGGATAACATACGCTTGGCTTACTGCCTGCTTGACGAACGTGGCGGCAGTCAATCTCTTGAAGCTGAGAGGAGATTTTAAAAAAAGTCTAACAGACAAGATAAAAAACCATAAATGCTTTATTTAGTGAAACTCAAACCTGCTGTGTATTTACGTATTTTTCAAAAGACCATAAGGAGTGACACAACACAAAAAGAGATTGTGAGCCCATTCCTGAAAATAGTGATTCAATCCATAAGTTAGACCCTTATATTCAGTGTATATAGATCTTATCAACCTAACCATTGCTGCCGTTTCCTAGTCATAAATTTTATCTTAGAAAATCAGCAAATGAGTTACTGTCGCTTTATTAAAACAATATAGATTTATTCTTTCATTTATTAATTCACTTAGTTTCTTTCTTCAACAAATCATAAACAGTTCATGATCTTTTGTTTGCCTTGTATGGCTATTAGATAACTCTGTTTGTCACCAAATACTTTTGAGATTGGGCGCACTTCTTCAACCTAAGTTTCAGTCTGACTTTTTACACTATCGTTTAGATGTAAATTGTCCATAATGTGCCCACCGAATAATAAAAAACGACTAATATCCCCATCATAGGGCTCTGAGCTTAAACAGATAGAATTTTTTTTTTATTTTGTTTGTTATTTTTTTTTAACCAGGCAACTGAAATTTGTTGAAAAACGTGGGATGACAAAAGCGAAGGATTAACTTGGGTTGTTTTATTAATCCCCTCCACCAAGGTTACGAATACTCTCTTTAAATTTTTGTAACTAACTCGAAATTTTTTTTTAAAATTAAATTGCATTGCTGAGTTGCTTTTCATTAATTAGCCATAAACAGGACAGCGTCAGAAAAGTCTTATCCACACTACATTTACATTCGTAATTAAGAGATTTAACTTTTAACCTCAAGGCAGGTGAACTGGTCCCTGCTTTGTATGTCAGTCAGCTTTTAGGTGAAATGTGCGCGAGAGTATTAAGCACGAAACAATGCAGACTCTAATGTAAGACATCTTAGAATTCTTCTTTGGCAAGGAATCTACTAAAGACTGATCAACTCTAACATACAAGCTATTTAACAATAATTCAACGAGCGCGCGTTGGCTATGAGATGATCGATAGCCAACGAGGCGCGTAGCGCCGAGTTGGCTATAATCATCTCACATCGCCAACAAGCGCGGGTGGAATAATTGTTTTATTAAAAACGTCAAATTAAATAATTAAATTTTAGTAAATATTTTAGCTCCCTTTTAATTTCAAGCTGACACGTACGCTTACCATATTTACTCGCCTTATTCTTGACGCCGACTGGCATTAGTCCTCAGTCAGTCTCTTTGCCAAACTCAAATGGCTCCCCAATTACTCTTAGTTAACCTTAGAAAGTTTTTCCTCCTCTTTAATATTCTTAATAATCCCGAAGCACCAAGCTGTCTCAAACAATCTTTCCATTTCTTGTCTTCTAGACGAATAACTGGTGCTATTATTAGAGTTTGTAACCTTGACCTTCAACTTCCTTATCCCCGCTCAAACTGCGGTTAACGCACTTTCGCTTTCAGTGTAGCCTCGCTTTTCAATTGTCTTGACTTCGACCTTAAAGAACTTCTACGCTTCCCAAACCCCTGTACCTCTTTTTCGACTAATCTGCCTGCCTTCAAAGGTAAAGTTCTCTCTCTTTTTCAAACCTTTACCTCTCGTGCTTCTCACCTAGAAACGTTGCTTTGTCCCAATTGACGCTACAAACTTCGTTGCAGTTGTACATCATAGTCTTTTGTTTTTAGTTTTTCCAATCGTTAATCTTAATCAACAATGCTCCATGATACTCTGTGAGTTTTTTTCAATTATCACTCATATATATATATATGTTCATTTATTATCTATACTTTGTCATTATGTATTTTGTTCATATTTTATGTCAATGTTTCAGTAGTGTGAGGGCCTCATGTTAGATAACTCCTTGGGTTAAGGAGCTTCCCTCCTTCAATAAAGTTTATTGATTGATTGATTGATTGATTGATTGTTTGATTGTAGATTATGGTGTTTTGCCTCATATACCATAATGGCTAAGCCAATAAAAAGTTTTGAGTTGCATTATCCAATTATCCAGTTTTCAATAATCATAATTTGACAATGGCTTTTCTCACTGACACTGTCGATGACCTGTTATTTGCTTTAGACAAATTTAAATATTCCCTAATACCGATTTCACTTTTCATGAGTGCGAATTAAATTATGTGAGAAATGTGCAAGCTTGTAAGTCAGAAATCTTAATTGGAATGCATTGGTTTATCACATAATCCACTGCGTGTTTTACGTTTAATTTAACAAATGGTAAACACCACAGCGCACACTACTGAGTTATGGATGCACGCGGGAGGTTGTTAAGCACGAAAGAAGCGCAGGAGTCGCACGAGGCGATAGCCGAGAGGTACTCTAGCTTCTTCCATGATTAAATAGTGTACACGGAGGATCGCAGGTGAGGCGCCGCGCTGCGTATGACTATAATAATTGTGACGTTGAAATCGCAGCTGCCGAGGGAGCCATTGACATTGTTTAATGATTTTTAGCAGCCTTGTATATAGGGTTCTAGATTTGCCAGTCACCTTTCTCTTTTCTGTATAGTTTTAGATATGCTTTTACTTTTCAGATTATTAGACTTTGAATCTGTTCAGATTTAACTCCGTTATTTATAGTTTTCCAGACGCTTTGACGTAAAAAAAGGAGTAGATGTGAGCCGAAATTGAGTTATTTTTGAATGGTTTTTTACGCTGTTAATATTTTGTGTTGTAGAGGATTCTATGGAAATTACTGCTAAATAAAGATTATTAATAGAGTACGCTGTGGTGCTTACCATTTGTTTTATAACATAATATTGATACATTTTAGCAAGAATTCCATTTAATTTAAGGTGGCTGGTACCAGTTTTCATCTTTTTGATGGTTTGTAACTTTGAAAGAATACAACAGAAAGACTGACCAAGGCCAGTTGAACACTTTTACGGGGTTGAATTATATAATTATTGGTTATCATTTCGTCACTAGTAGTTTCCATGGCAAGGCTTTCATAGGCTTATTCAGACTCTTATTTTTAGCTTGTGACTTAAATAATTCGAAAACTAACCCGGTGACCCCGTACTTTTTTTCATCGATTGCTTTTGGCACTTGAAAAGGAAAAGGCACAAAGATTTTTAAAAAATTCCATGGAGCGGAATTTCAGAAAATCTAGAAAAAAGGCAGTTTTCACACATCGCAAATTTCCTTCCGTAGAATTTTCAATTTTTTTTTCTGATGATTTCTTTCGACGTTATTATCACATTGGAACAATTAAAATAAGTGGTCACCGGACTTGTTTTCATGCAGTAGCTTTCGTGAATTTAGCGATTTCCACGCGCGTTCTCGCGCATCTCAAAATCTGGAGTCCATAAGATCGACATTTGCTCATGATCTATTATAGCTACCGCTGAGAATTGCGTGTGCTCGTGCGAGCGTCTACGATCTGATGTTTACAGACGTAAATTCTCGTTTACTGCTCAGAAAATCATTAAACAGCTGTCGAAGACAGCCTCCCGGGCTCATCTCTAAAATCCTACACACGACTTCTGGCTTCATATTATTTTCCTTGAAGTTTCAAAGTCTTCTTCCACTTCAGGTAGATTATCCTTCACTTGAGTTCTTCTTTTTTCGCCTTCGCAAGATTTCATATCGGTTGAATATTTCTTTTAGATGTGAAGTGAAGCAACCTTTACTTCTCCGAAAATCGTCTTCTTTATCTTTGTTTCTATCTCCTGCATTCACAGTGGTCGCTCAACACATCAAATGCACGCTCTTAGGTAAACTTCTCACAAAAGTAGAAAAAAAATCCACGCGCCGCCATCTTTGTTTTGAATTTTCATCTTCTGATCTCGCGCTTCTTTCGCACGTTTCTGTCGCGCGTCACGCAAGAGTAACCTGTTCCCCGCGTGAGGAAACTGGTACTAGCCTCCTTAACAAATCTTAGGTGACCAGAAAAAAACAAGCGCGTGCGGAAAAATAGACTTTGCAGCAGCGTACACC